ATATATTTTATATATTATTTCTATATTATATATATTTTATATAAAATATATTTTACATATTATTTTATATACATGTATCTTATATATTTTATATATTATTTCTATATTATATATATTTTATATAAAATATATTTATATATTATTTTATATTATATGTATTTTATATAAAATATATTTTATATATTATTTCTATATTATATATTTTATATAAAATATTTTTATATATTATTTTATATTATATGTATTTTATATAAAATATATTTTATATATTTTATATAAAGTATACAAAAATAGAATATATATATCATATATATTCTATATAGAATATATACATATATATAAAATTACTATACAAATTAACCAAAGCAAGACACGACCCGTGCACTCCTGGGCTGGGTCGCTCACCTTCCGCCCCGCCGGCCCTGGCTCCACGCGGCCGCTCTCCCGGGGCTCCGCTCGCCTGTAGCCGCTGCCCCGTCCGATCCCTGAGGGCCCTGCCCCTGCCCGGCCCCGCTCCCGGCCCGTGCCCGCCCTGCCCCGTCCCGCGGGCCCTGTGCCGGCGGCGCCGCTCCCAGCGCGGCCCCGGCCGCTCCCTCCGCCCGCTCCATCGCGCTCGAACCGCCCGCGCCCCTCACGGCTTCCGGGGCACCGCGCATGCGCACACCGGAGGCACCGCCCGCGCCTCAGAGCGCCCCTCGAACGCCACCCAAAACACAAACACTGTCACAGCGGTCAAACTGGCAAACCAAAGCTTTATTCTTCTGTTGTGGTGGGGTTTTTTTTTTAATTTCTTTTTCTTTTTTTGTTTAAAGTCTTTGCTACAGTACCTAGGACTGCACCCCTATACATAATTAACAATCATTCCTGAAAGATCTGTATTTGGCACCAGTTTGTGTTTACCTCAAACACTTGGGGGGAGGATTAATTTCAAATCAAATTTGGTTGTTTGGTTGTTTTTTTCCAACAGAACAGGAGCTGCCATCATGAAGCCAATTAGCTGAGTTATTGGAGAAGCTTAAAAAACAAAACAAAACAAAACAAAGTCCTTATCTTAACCAACACATTACAGAGAGCTCCAAAACAGAGGTCAAACATTAAAAGGCTGATATAGGCTCAAGTGGTTTATAAAACCTATAAAAAAAGACTACACCAGCACATATGCCCTTTCAGTCCACGCAGTTTAGAAATTAACACAGGGAGCAACTCGCTAGCTGGAAATCTTGTCATGGGAGAACCACATATATACCAACAGGACTACCCAAAATCAAATGTTAAAATGCTCCAATTCCCAATCCACATAAAAGGAGAGAGCTTCATAGGAAGATTAAGTCAATCCATGGCATCATAATTGGTTGGGCAGTTCAAAACTTCCCCCAGCAACCACTTTGTCACTCATACACACAGGCTCACATGTACACGGCTCAATCCCATTCAAATTCCTCATGGAATAAAACGATCCCAGGCTCTATTGAGTCTTTCCCTATCATGCAAGAAATAAGTCTGGCTGTGCTTTAATCACCATCATGTATTACTTCAGCCACAGAGTACCAGGCGGATTAAGTAGAAATGCACAGTTTTTAGCTCGCTGTCTCTGCACAAGTGTCGGAGAGGCTCAGTTCCTGGAGAATTCCGGGTGGGCACACGCAGTCTCCCTTCATGCAGACTCACTGGCCTCCACTGGCTTGATCATGTGGTCAGGTTTGTTGCCTGCAGCGTAGTGATCCCACATCTGGAGGTAGAGCCGCTCCAGGTCCGTCGTGTACTGCTTCGTGTTGAACAGAGGGCTCGATATTCTCTGCTTCCAGACTTTGCCACGGATTTTTTTCAGGCTGCAAAGAGTGAAAGCGGTCATGGGAGGTTCCAAAAACTACATAATACTGTTTTAATTCTGCAATCTACTGTTTTCAGCTAACCCAGAACTGCCTGTGCAACTGTTCCAAAAACAGCTGCTCCCCCACTGTTTTATCCCCTCATCATTTCTGATGCAGACCAGCACAACCACTTTAACTCACAAGAGCTGGGATATTAACTTGTTGCATTACCTCTACTGCAGTAATATTTTACAGCGTGATTTTAACTTGCAGTAAGTGACAAACTGTCGAATCTTCAAATTTAAAAAGAATTAAAAGGTGAACTATATTGAACTTTTTACGATTTTGCACATTTCTTCAGAGCAGGCAGCATTGTAACTCAACTGGGAGTGCTGTTAAGTTACTGTAAAAGCTGAAGTAAGTGCAAGACAAGACATCTCTAGTAGAGGATTGCCCAGCTACTTTAAACAGTAAGATATCTGCAGGATTAAAACTACTGATGTCTCAGCACTGTGCCCAAATATAGTCCAAGCTTGCTTACTATTCCAGGTCAGTTCCCAGTTTCACAGCAATGTCCTCATACTCCTGTCTACTTTTTGCAATGAGCTCAAGACAACCCAGGCAAGTGAGCTGTGAGGCAGCAACTCGTGAGGCAAGAGTCTCTCCTGAAAAGAAGAAAACAAAGAGCAAATCAAAACCAACAAAACCAATCAGGAATAAGTTTGTTAAGTAACATATTCCACACTATGAGTTACTTTCCTTCTGCCTCCACAAGAAGCAAAATTTGCTGGGCTTGCTGTTATTAAAAAACTACCAGTATTCCAACCCCCATGTTCAGTGTAGGTTTCCTGCCTGTTACCTGGCATAGTGACCATTGGAGTCCCAGCCCAGAGCACGTCCATCCCAGTTGTGTGCCCATTACAGAGCGGGGTGTCCAGGCAAACATCAGCCAACTGCCCTCTCCTCACATGCTCTTCTTTGGGGGCAACAGGCGAAAAGATGATTCTGTTTTGGGCCAGACCCAAGTTTTGTGCATACTGCTGAATATTGGGCTCTCCTACAGCTGGGAAACGTAGCAGCCACAGCACACTGTTTGGGACTCTTTTTAGGATCTGTAACAAAAATAAGAAGTAAATACAGGAAGCTCAGAGAGGAACATTTACTTTTCTGAACAAGAAATTACCCCATACCAAACTGCAGTGGAAGGCTGCAAGATTCAAACCACTACAACACTATAGTCGTTCAGTACATTAATCTGAGGTATAAGAGCAGGAATAAAACAGATCTTAATTTTGAATGGAATCACTAGGATTGCACTCCTAATCCCACTGGAAGAGACACAAACTCTGAGCAACAGTTCATAGGGCAGTACTTGGAGTAAATTTATTATCTCATTTATTCATAGGCCAATGCTATGGAATATAAAAAAGATATTACTCCCAAGTAACTCTCAGCAATACATTTTAAGCTGGAATCTGACAGAGATGCTCTCTGCTCAGATCTATCAATCTACCAACTGTCAAGGCCAGTTATGACTCAAATGTAGAGACTAAGAAAGACCAAAATTATTTCACGATGGAGAACCAGCATGGTCAAGCTGTCCAAGACATAAGCTCTCACTGGCTAGATGCACAGACATCATTTGAAATAAATCTAAAAAATTCTATATTCTAGTAAGCCCTGCAACAAAAGCACTGTAAGGATTCAAAATGGCTCAGGGTCAATGTTTTCCACGGAAAAGTTACAGTTTTAACTTGCATGAAGTTTCTGCTAACCTGAACAGAACTGCTGTTCCAGAAGCACATTAGCCCCAGATACTCACATTAGCCCACATCTGTAAGGTGGAAGGATCAATCTTATAGAGCTGATTGAAGTTGCAGTACACAACAGCATCCTCTGGTAAGCCGTACTGAGAGCGGGTGGTAACAATTATAGTCCGGGGAACTTCCTCACCAGTGGCTGCTTTGTTGTTGATCTGAAGGAATGAAAAACAGCTACTGAAACGCTGGAATTGCAGAAAACAAGAGCATGCCCTGTGGAATTGTCCTGAGACACTGCAACATTTGTTAGCATCATAAGTTACTGTAAGCATATCTTTGGTTTTATTATACAAAACAAAATTGTCTACTTACCCACAGCAAGAATTTAACTGGTTTGTGTACACGCTTGTGGATGCCACAATGTTGCAACCACCAAGGCAAAAAACACTGGGCATTTTCATGCCCTTCCTATATCTCCCCGAAATTCCAAGTAACTGGAATAATTGGAAAGAAGAATCATATAAAGAGGCATTACAAATGGAATCTACCCTCCCTAAGGTAACTTAATTTCTGTGAGACCAAAAATGAAATTAAAACTCAAAGACAGAATTAAAAAGCAAAGGTGTTTCTCGGTTTGTTTGGATTTTTGTGGTTAATTTTTGGGTAGGTTCTGTTTGGGGGTTTTTTTTGGGGTGCTCTTTTTTTTTTTAAAGATAAAAGACAACAGGCACAGAACAGATAGTCAAGACTAAAGATATAGACTCATATGCAACTGCTGGACTGTAAGGAACTATCTGACAAGAAAATAGTAGAAATGCTAAAAATTAGGGAAGTTAACAACAAACTTTCAAGAAAGCACAGATCTTACAGCGTTCACAAAGAATAGGAATATGCTGATAAAAACCAGTAGAGGATGAAGATGGGATAATCAAAACACCATGCAACAGTCTTAAGGATTAGTAAAATGGAAGTATGATTTTTAATTTTTAATAATGACATGCAACAATGGCATCAAAACTAGATAAAAATATCGGTAGAGACAGACAACACAGCTACTTAGAGCCTTTTTCTCTAAATACTCATTTTTCATAAGTATGTATTTAAAATTTAGAGTAGTGGCAGTGCAGGCAGCCACAGATGACACACCTGATGTGAATGCCAATGACTCACTGCCACTGACTCCATTAGGAGATGTACGTGATAACTTAGTTCAACAGAAGTTGGTAAAAGTGCTCAGCTCTTGTCCACCTATGCCAAAAAGCAGCTGATACAAAGAAGTGTTTTATTAGTGTGACTGAAAAGATAGAAGTTCTGTTTTAAGAGTGCACAGACAGAGCTTAGAGTGTTTCGTTGTGGTGGTGGAGTGTTAAGAATTCTCTATGAGGACAAGAACTTCAGAAAAAAATGCCAATAAACTTACTGACCAAACTAAGACATAACATGTTATCAACTCAAAGGAAAGTCTCAGTTGTGAACAAAAGAACTCAAAAAGAAACCAAGGCAGGAGATTGTGGATAGAGCAGTGGTAATAAAAGGGCTCATTAAATGATGTCAAACGATGTCTCTCCTGAGAGACTGTAAACTGAGTAACACACACAAGATAATGAGTTATGCCAGTGTCAGAATATGGTATTTCTAAAAAGGAAGAACTGTTCTGCAATGGAAGAAGTGTTAAACAATACCAGTAGCAGTCACAAAAATCCCATTAACTGTTAAGCACTGAGAGGTGGTGATGTAGTGCAGGGTTCTGAAAAATGTAAGGAGATGAATAAATGTTGTTGAGATACAGTGGAATAACTCTGACTCTATTCTATTATTCAATAACTTTTTTTCTAAATGAAAAACACAACAAACTAAGTAGCAGGTCACAAATCCCTGGAGGTTGCAGGGCAAAAAGCAAACCTTGCCTTCAAACAATGAAGTGTCGTCTTTATGCAACAAGAATTAATTTCTTTGGACTTTAGATACCTCTAGATACAATTCCTGTATCTCTGGGGGCAAAGATCATCTTCCAGTACATCTGTGGCTTACAATGAGTTTTCTTCAATATGAGAACTAAACAAATCAACATGATAGAAGACACAT